CATTTGGAATAGTTCAGTCCTGTGCTGCTGTTCATAAAACCTTAGCACACATTTTAAGGGCCATACTTGGTAGTTGCCTTGGTAGTTGCCCTGCCCAACTTCATCCGCCATATAGAAGCTTCTCCTAATTGGATGCACAATGTATTGGTTACCCCATGTGCACTGCATTCCCCTCACCCTTTATTTTCCCTGTGGCATTGTCAACCAATCAAGCATTAAAAAATAATAATCCTTGAAACTGTCAACCAGTTATAGTTTTGAATTTTACCAATTTTGTTCAGGCCTGTCTCAGAGGATTTCACATTTTTACCAAATAGTCATTTCAAAGCCTTAGAAAGGACACCTCATTCTTGTCATAGCATAGAGACCACATTTTTGATTAGCTTTGAATCTGAAGGTTACTGCTGCAGCTGTGTTTTCTGCCCATCAATTACTGTCAGCACTGAGTGCTGCAGAATTTAGATAATGAGAAGATATAGGTCACAATAACCTTAAGAACAAAAACCAGAACTAAGATAAGTAACCTGGATTACATCTCACAAACATTCCAGTACAATCCCCCCCCCCAGTAAAGTAAAAATAATTGGCAAATGTTTATTTTTTGTATCCATCTTGGAAACATTAGATGCTATTATTTCTCAAGTTAGATGGCATTAGGTCCTTTATTTGTTAGGTGAGGACAGAATCCTTGTTGAAGTACCTCATGTTTCACAGCCATGAAAAAAAGCAATCTCAAATATATGAGATTAGTTTGATTCAAGTTGTTTCCAAAATTTGAAAGCAAGTCGACACTGTTGGATATTTCATATTTAACTAATGCCATCATCATTGGTGCATATGCCCAGAGCATTCTAGTTACAAACTCTGCAATATTTGCTTTTTTAAATTTCTCCCTAAATCCAGTTTATTCTTTAGGTTTTTCTGAGCAAGACCTTCTCTTAATTTCTTGTTCTGGTAGTGTAATCCAGGTTCCAGTAGTGTAGTGTTATCCAGATTCTGGGTCCTTAAACTGTAGTTTCACATTCTGGAATTATTTCTCTTCCCTCTTCCATCTTTTTGGAAGTGTAATGGCCTTTAAAGTATCTAAGCAGCTTTTTATTTGATTAGTAGGACAATTTGGTTGTTTTATCCAATTTTTACTCAGCTGCAGTTTTAAATTAACATTTAAGAATTACCAAAAAAGATATATGCTGGATATATTTTCCAAGATTCCAACACCTAGGAGACCAGATGGCTGCGCACATGTATGCTATGGCTGGACACTCCTTTTTTCAGTGTGTAGTGTGGTCAAGGGGCNTTCAAATGCCAGAGTTTCTGAGCCAACATTTTGGTTGCTAAGCAAGAGTGCTAAGTGAGTTTCACCACATTTTACAAGTTGCCCATGCCCACCCAGTCACATGGCCAGCAAGCCACTCCCACAAAGCAGGCCACACCTACAGAAGAGGTTCTAAAATTGTTTGAAACCCACCACTGAAGTGGACTATGCAATATCTTTAACCAGGATTTTCCATCATTTTCCTGAATTTAAAAAGTTGTTGAAAAATATATTGATTTGAAAACTATGCTAAGCTTAATTTAAACTTATATAAAATTATATGTTTTTGTTGGAACACTCTTTCAGAAAAGAAGGGGGAAAACTTATGTAAAATCTACAGTGTCTAAGAATATAATATTCTTCCTTCTCTTCTTCACATCTCCACTATCAATCATAAAATAACTGATTCTGAAGTACTGTACTCCAAAAATGCATAGGCAAGATTTTACTGTTTTCTGAAAGAAGTCAGGACAGGGATTAGCTGAGTAATTCTTGTAGACTTCTATAATCAAGGCATTGTCAATACAAAGTCCTACTCTAAACTATTGTACTGTGTGTGAAACTTGCTAATGGGACAACAATCTAAGAGATGATGAGAGAGATGGTATTTAGATTGCAAGGTACTTTACAGATTAATGTAACACCTTACATTAGGCCTTACAGGCAACCTGTGTGGTGTTTTCAAATCCCTGTTTTGTGTTTCTATTTAGCACTCCACTATCAGGGATAATGCAAGTAAAGCATTCTGTACTAGTTGCAGCTTCTAGGTCATCTCTAGCCTCAAGTAAATGTACTGCAGTAATCAAATCAAGCAATGATTACATCATAAATCAGTCAGGCTAGATTGTGTAGGATGTTAGTTGGTGCAAGAGCCAATCTGCATGGAACCTTTTTGCTATTTAGTCTAGCTAAGCCTCTATTGACAAATGAGAATCAAGAGAACTGGCTAAGTTACATACTTGTTCTGGAAAACAGTTTCAAGAACTTATGCTGCTGTCAATGGACTTTGTTGTGACCAGGGGTGTCAAACTGGTGGCCTGCAGGCCGGATGCATCACGCACAGGCCAGCTCCGTGAAGGGCAAAAAATGTTGCGATACATCACATGATGGCAAGGAGTAGATAGCTAGTCGAATGAAGTGGTTGAATATGCACTTCCAGGTGCAAATGTCCCAGAGTAGCTTCCAAAACAATCCTGCAAAAACACAGGACTGCTTTAACAAGCTGAAGAGGTGACAGTATTTTAACATTTTATTTTGAAAGATCTGCATATTGCTAGAATCCAAATATCCAACTTGGCATCCCAATAAGTTGCCTGTTGAAGCTTCTGCATATGAAATGAGAATATACATCACACACCTTCTCACGTAACAGTCAAAATGCTTCATGTACACCAAATGTGTGACAAGCTGAGAGAAATGGCATCTCCCAATGGAGCTGGGCTGTATAAAGAAAAGCGTCAAAATTGTTCAATTTTTTGTTGTGATCATTGGCAAGCGATGACAAATTAACAGCAACACATACAGAAATGAGATTCAAAGCAAAATATTTCAGTAATGAATACTTTTGCTCAGAATTTTACCCAGGTGGCCAATTTTTAGGATATTCTATCTGCCAAGTAAGATTAGCATTATTTCTCTCTCTCATCTATTTAAGGTAATCAATGAAAAGAACTGTTTTGGTTAGAGAAGAATCTACATTGGGAAAATACATTTGCTTAGAAGATGGTATGTTATTTCTCTTACCTAAGAAATAAGTTGGCAAGCCATTATAAATTATTTACTATACATATTTTACTGGTATGAGAAATAAGGAAAAATCCAGAAATGTGGTTTCTGGAGATCTCAAACTTATGGAGAATGCTAAACATTACAAAATGAATAATATTTCCAGAATGATAAATGTAATTTGAGGAAATCCAGTGCCTTTCAGATATATTGATAATTATTAAGAATGTTTTTTATGAGAAGAGTAAATCCCTATTTTTTGTTTATCTAAATCAGAGTCATCATTATATGAGAGGAGTTTTAACTTATGTCAGTATAATAGTTACAAATGGGCATATTAATTTACTACACATGGGCACAATACTTTAAAATTCTCCATGGGATTCAAGTACTGTAATCATACCCCAAAACATCCTGGATACAGTTAGATAGCTACTATATCACCCCTTTTTACATTATGAAAAGTGCTTAATTCAAGTTTTAAAAACTAATAGTTTATGAAGAATCTGGGATGCTCAAAACTGACGAATCCACTGATTATATTCAATTAAAACTTCATCTGATTTCATAATTTAATCCAGATACATCAGAACAAATAACACTCTTGAATTATTTCTGCCCAGAAATGAACTTTGTATGAACTGAAATCTGTACGATTTTAAATAGACAATTGAATGTACAGTTAATGTATCTGCCAGCTGATGTTGTGCACTAATGTTACCTAATTTAGTAATAAAATGTCTGCAAACAAACAACAAAACTAAGAGAAAATCAAGAATTTCACTGTTCAACTCTGAACCACTTATTTTATTATATACTTATTATATTCTCTCCTATTAATTAATGTGTCCATTAATTATTTCGAAGAACTTTGGAATAAAGTCTCGGAAAATCCCACAAAAACGAACAAAAAATGAAAGGCCTTAATGATTTCATAATGAGACCGATTCAAGAGGTTTCCCCATTATTAGACATCTGTTTAAAGATGTGTGCAAGTTAATTTGATGTTAGAAATGTAGAATGATGAACAGGATTTATGAAAATGATAACTTTTTTTCACCAGTACTAGATTTTGACTTAATATTCAGAAATATGTTATTATATCCCAAAATTTTAGTTTTTTGTCATCATACAATGAACATGGATTTTCTAATTATAAGCACAGCATATTTTTGGACAGCATTACAATGCTGTGCAATCACTTAGTATTGCCCCAGACAGTAAGATGGGTAGTATATACATTTAATAAATAAATTTACTCCAAACAATATGTGACTATCTGACTGTTCTTTATCAATGCATTATAATATTGTGAGATCAAGGAATAATAATGATTTTTAAAAAATGAATGGGTTATATTACTGGTTTTGTCCTCCCTCTTTTATCCCTATTCCCCCATATGTTATCAATTTTAAAAAGGCATTATGTTGATTAACTGTGTATCATACTGTGATTAGGCAATTTCATTTTTAGCATGATTATTCTTTTCGACTATGGGTCATCAAAATTTTTGAAGGTATGATAGCTAATTCATTTTACCCGGTGTCCATCCAAAAAGCTCAGGGCAGGTTAGGGGATTACATTTGCGAGGTCCGCTAAGATTCCAGGGAGGCCTATGGTAACCAAATCAGCGTCTGTGTGAAGATTCTGGTCCACTAGGCTGTTCCCGACCACCCATCCCTCTCCTCGCCCTATAACTACGACCTCTCCCTACGACCAGCCCCGTTTTTCGCAGGCTGCCCAGCGCGCGCGTGCTGCCATTTATGGCTTTCGCCTTCTCCTCTTCGCCCCGGGAGTTCGCCTCCCTGTCCTTGGCCGGCCAGCTGCGCCCCTCTTCCAGTCCGTGGGTTCCCAGCGCCAAAGTCCCAGCAGCGCCCTCTGTCGGTCACTAGCGCTGACGTGTGGCCATGCCCGACCACTCCCTCCCCAGTCTCCGCCCGCACGTTGTCAGAGCTGGGAAGCCGCTGTAAGCTCTGCCGTCTCCTCAGCCTTTCCTTCTTGCTGGTAACCGGAGCACCGAGCCGGGCGCGCTCTTTGCTTTGGTTCCCGGGGCGGCCCGCGCCATTATGTCTCGTGCCGTCCCGCTCCTCTTGATGCTGCTCTGCTTGGCCCAGCGCCGCGCCTCCTTCGCCGGGCCCACCGCCTCGTCCCTGGAGAGCGTGGCGGACCCCTGCCTAAGCCAGCCCTGCAAGAACAACGGCACCTGCACGCCGGTCTTAGCCAAACTGCCCGCCGCGCCCCACCGCCTGCCGTTGCTTTTTCTTTCGCCTCAGCCTGCTTATAGCTGCCTCTGTCGCTCGGGGGTCACCGGCACCGAATGCCAGGTAAGCCCGGGGAGTCGGGCGCCTTCCCTTGGGGGACCTTGCGATCCATCAGTCCGACCCTTGCAAAGCGCTCGCCTGTCCTCGTTCATCTCCGCCTTCTTAGGCTTCTCTCTCGGGCGTCTTTTGGTGTCCATCTGCCGCCCCCGCGCCTTGGACTCCATCGGCCCGTTGCTTTCGCGGATTCTTCCTCCTTCCATCTTTCCCATCAACCTTCCCTCTCCCCCCCCCCGCCCCATCTCCTCCACCCCGTAGATCGCGTAGTGATTTTGGTTCGCTCCGCAACCGTGATCTTCCTTGGCGGTCGCTCTCCAGGCGGTGGCTCTGCGCTGCTTTGCACTGGTCCCTAAGAGTGGTTTGAGTTCCTTTGATGCAGAATCCTTATCCGACCGCTCTCATTTCGGTTTCTACCTCCGAGTCGGGGCACGCGACTCTTTTGTGGAATCATCCACCGTGGCCCCTTTCTTGTGACGGATCGCTCATCTGTTACACGCACCGAGCCAGACCTCTCTGTGGGAACCGAGTCCCGTGGCCTTCACACAGGGGCGCTAACAAGGGCAAAAGCTTGAAGTGCTGAACTTGAAGGGCATATTCTGTGCCTTCACCAAAAAGCTTTCCATATGAGCATCCTTCCTATGTAAATGATTTTGCACCACTTTAACTAAAGATTTTCTTTTAAATCCGGTCTAAGTGTGGTTTAGTGTAATCTTGGTTATTATTTTTATATGGCTTTTCATATTATGCAAACTCTGGACTCACTTTATGATTAATTGTGCCCTGTGAATCAGAAAATGGGTTAATTAAGTAAGCAGGTTAAGCATTTATGTGAAGGCAGCCTTGTATTTCTAAGAGATGCCACCGAAGATGCCAATTTGGAGTCTTCCTTTTGAGCTGCCTGAATGATGCTGCCTGGGGGTGGTGGTGTTAGAATGACAGTTGCAGAAGTGCCTTCCAGGATACAGTATTGCAAATTGTTGGTTGACAGGATTCTTTTCTGCTCAAGGTTAAAAGTATTTTAGAGCTTAATGATGTTTTCCATCGGGGTCTTGGTATTTTCATATACATATTTTTCCCCCTAGTGATTAATATGCTAGTAATTTTTGTCACTAAGAGCCAAATGAGGGCTTGTTCACAGACTTTGGATAATATATGGTTTCCCATTTTCATTGGAATTAAAATAGGTAAGTAAAACAACTAGAACTGCTATTTCCCTCCCCTCAATTATGTTTTAGTATGAAAAATATTAAACTTTTGCTAACATCTGTTATGAAATGTTATGCCTATCCAGTTTGGTGTAGTCTTTAAAATGGTGCATTGATATTTGTCTTTCATTCTTTCTGATGAAGAAAAAAGATGAAGAGGAGGAAGAGGAAGAGAAATAGAATGATGATGGTGGTGGTGGTGGTGATAATGAATTTGGTTATAGAATAAGGCTGCAATGGACTACATTTCATGTTTACCTGGAAATAATCTCATAAAACTAATGGCTTTTACTTCTGCATAATTATGCCTAAGTATAGGTTGCTAATCAGTGATGCTATTTTTACCACGCTAAGTTTACTGAATATTTTTAACATGGCAAAAAGGTTTGTAATCTTTTTCTTTCTCCCCCCCCCTCCACCCCAATATTACGTAAGATGTTGCATTTATGAATACAGGGATAAGAAAAGAACAAAAGGCTACTGTGAGAAATACTGAAAATTAAAGACTTTATGAAAGAACTTGGAAAAAAGAAGTTCTGCGTTTTATGTCACGGTGCCCCACTTTCTGCAGTGCAAGTTTGTGGGAGGCTGGATCAAACCGAGGAGAAATAAATGGAACTCTTTTAAACCAAGTGAATCTTGTAAATTAGGTGTTGACTGTTCCTAGGTTTTCTTCTGTGTTGGAAGAAAGAGAGTGTTGTATGAATTGTTCTGCCTTCTGGAAGTTAACAAAGGTAAATTGCTATTTTAAATACCAGTAAAGTGTAATGTCTAGAGAAGAAAGAATGGCAACTTGAGATACGTTTTAGCCATTTATATCCACTTTGTTCAATTCTCATTATTGTACACTTTTATGTAATTAATCCTAAATGTTATTGCATGAAATCATTGAAAAATAAGTATATTTAAATTCTTTTACATTTTGTTGCAAGATTATGACTAAATTTGATCAAATTGGATTGATTTTCTGTACTATTGGAAAACTGAATTATCACGTCAATTTGTTTCACAATGGATACTCAAGCTTTCCTGCAAAACAAAAAGGTTCATTTTCCCAGTGAAGCATTCATGTCCCCTTGACCAGAGGGCAGGTTGAAGGAGATGCTGTATGTGAGGCCATTGGAAACACTACAGAGCCACCAACATAGCTATAGGCCTTCTTAGAAGAACTTTTGTTTACAATTGAGAGCTTGTTCTTCTCCAAGATTTTCAAAGAAAACAATAAAGGGAAGATAAAGGTATAGGTTATGGTAGCAGAAGTAGAATTGGATGCAGTTTGAAAGAAGATATCAGACAAGTTGATTATTATATTTTAAAGGTATTTTGTTGATCTTTAAGAAAAATAAATTGCTTTTTAATGGGCCTTCCTCTTTCTGGAGTAACAGTTCTTGATTATAACTTCCCCATGGTGTTGACATTTCTGCCCAGCTTGTTGACCTCCATGATTTTTGTTTTTGTATTTTCCTATTTCCCAACAAAGACACAATTACAATTTTATTTATTAGCCGTACTGGAGCTCATGACAATATATACAGATTTCCCTCTTTCATTTTCTTCATAATAAACCTGTGAGTTTGGGAAGGCTGGGAAAGGGACTCTCTCCAAATTAGTCTAATGAGTTTCTTCCACCTTGATACGTGGAGCCACTTTTCAGATGGTGGAAGCTTTCTTGCTAGATTTGGAAGTAATTCTAAAAGCGTTCCTTCTACCAGGCACTCCATGAAACTTAAAACTTATAATGAAATACGTGCTTTATATTATATCATAGACAACCTAATACTATATATTGAGTAATCAGTATTGCTTATGCAGTATCATATGAATCATATTTAGTATGCACTTCACCAATTCATTCATTTTTAGAATGGATATTGGTCACATAAAACATGAAGTGTAAAATGTCTGCTTTAAACCAATAGATAAAGCAAACATATGATTTTTAGGATTATTGAATACAATTGTAGATAACCCCAGAAATGCTTTTTGTTGCATTATCCACCTCCCCAAATATTTGCATCTAGGCCTGTGATTTTGAGAAAAGATTGAAAACCAGCATACTGAATCAAGACCAAGAAGGAATGACCATGGATGAGAAACTAAATTTCTAGTATATGGGTAGATCAAATTGGTTGTAAACTAATTTTTGTTTTTACTGAAATGCTAAGTAAGAAAGATTTGTTTTCCACTCTTCATAGTTTGATTATAAAAATATTAAATATATTTGAATTATTTTGTGTTTTTAAAATACATATTCACATTTTCCCATCTTTCCCTTAACTTAATGTTTGAACATGTAGATCAGCATGTTTATGATGTTTTCTATGTCTGCCAATGTTAATTAACCTCTGAATGTGATTTTGAAAGGATGCCCTTAAGAGTTAGGTGTAAAACTAAGCAGTTCAGATTGTCTTTATGGCAAATAAAGTGTCCTTCTATTTATGCATCATGAGCTATATAAATGCTTAGAAAAGGTTCTTTCTTTTTAAAGTACTCAAAAAGTCTATTGAATCCATTGAAAAGGCTGCTTTGCATAATTTACAGGTCATTACTCTGTAAATTGTTTGCTTCAAGAAATACTTTGAGAGTTTCAAAGACTATGATTTGCCTTCCTGTATTCATAGTTGTTGAAAGGCCTTGAGAAAAGCTTTGTAAGGAAATTATTAACAAAAAAAATACATCAAAGTGTTTTAGTGCTCTATTTTCTAATTTATTTTTCTCTAAGAATCATTTTCATTTTTCTATTATTCCTACTATCATATCAGTAATATAATGAAATACATGCTTTATCTTACATCATAGACAACCTAATACTATATATTGAGTAATCAGTATTGCTTATACAGTATTATATGAATCATATTTATTATGCACTTCACCAATTCATTCAGTTTTAGAATGGATATTGGTCACATAAAACATGAAGTTTAAAATGTCTGCTTTAAACCAATAGATAAAGCAATTTTTGAGCAGGTAAAGATTCTGTCTTGTAGGGGGGAATATATTATGTTTGTTGATCTACAAATTGTTGGAAGAATAAAAACATGTAAAAAATGAGGGAGGGCCATAGATTCAGAACATTTACTAGAATGGATACATAAATTTTTGTTCAATTATGATAGTGGGACAGAATAAATAAAAAAATGCATGATAAAATGGATGCAATAGTGTAAAGAAACAAGTTATAGCACAATGATGGGAGCAATTATGGAACAATGGCATAAAATCTACCCTAAATTATAATATTAGGGAAGTAAGACTAAATTATAATATTAGGGAAGTAAGACTAAATTATAATATTAGGGAAGTAAGACTAAATTATAATATTAGGGAAAACATATAAAATATTTTATAATAGTTATATAATTCCATTAATAATCACCAGGAAATACATATAGTAATGTTGGAGACACAAGAAACATTTCATTCTGTGTAGTGAACATGTAAAACAAATTTCAAAAGTACCTCAAAGGAATTTACAGATTATCCAGAGGAATTTAGCCATCCAATTTGAAATGAAACCAAAATTCTTCTTAGTAATCTAATTCTAAAACATATTAACAAAACATACCACTTTATTAAGATACATCTATATGGTGCAAGGATAACTCTAGCACATTACAAAAGATATACATTACTAAAGAGCTCAAAATTGGAATTGAAACTTGGACAATATTAAGTCATGGCAAAATGAATTGAATCACCATATGTGGACTTGAATGTTTTGCGCCTGACAGCAGGAGATGAGCAAAATTTGGCCTGGTTATTATTTGGCTAAGAGATCACAAGAGATAGCAAGGGCTG